CCCCCCCCCCCCCCACCTTCTCTAATCTAACTTGTGGATCCTTCGGACTTTGTTTGTCAAGTCTGTTAATGGCTTGCGTAGCTGTTGGGTTTTAGCGTTCGAATCAATACATGTTTGGACGCGAGGAGAATGAGTAGTATTTGCAGCTGAAACACTTACGCATGAGTCTTACGCGTGATGATTAAGGCTGCCCCGGGTTCCCCCACCCCCACCCCCCACCCCCAGCGTTTAATTCGCCGGTGCCCATTATTTGTACACCTGGGTGTAGAGAGGCTCTGTCAGAGTAAAGTGTCTTGCTCAAGAACACAACACAATGTCCCCGGCCAGGGCTCAAACCCGCACCGCTCGATCCGGAGGCGACCTCGCCTCCCACGCCTGGAAGAAGAGAAATGCCACAAACAATCATAAAGTAATCAGACTCCGCGAAGAATGACTTGAAAGAGGAAATGTTTCTAGACAGTTTTTGAGGCGTTTTTGTTCCTGTCAAAATCTATTCCCAGCGACTATGAAAAGGCCGAACTTTGTCAAGCTTCGTGCACTTCCAGGCAGAAACGAGAAACAGACAAGTGACTGACACAAGTTTTGAAAAAACATTTTCAGTGTCATTTATACCTCTATTAAGACTGTCATTGAAAAGTTCCACTCAGGTTGTTTTTTACTTGAAATTTATTTCGAGATTTTTCTCGACCTGAGCTCGAACAAAATAACGAAAAGATAGAGTAACAACAATTTAGTTCTAAAATGGCTAGATAACATGCTGGAGGTTTGATAAGAACATCGCTCGCATTGCTTGCATGAAAACACTTGCATATTATCTGAGGAAACTGAGCCATAACAATGCAAAATTACACTGAAAGCTAAGAACAGTGGCGGATCTAGTGGAGGGAACTGGGGGCCCCGCCCCCCTTATTTTGGGTGAAAAAAAAAAGAAATGACTGAAGGAAGAAGAGCCGGCAGGGCGAGTAAAACTAAACCGGGCCCTCCCCTTAGCTCAAAGTCTGGATCCGCCACTGAAGAAGAAAGCTGTGCCCTCTGTCAACGAATTCTCGCCGCTAAGCTGCTCTTTTGTATTAGCTGAAAGGAGAACTATGATCTTGAATAGAACATTATAAATCTTTAAAGTCCTTGAGACCTGAGTTGTGTCGGTAAACAGCGAAGCAATTTAAATGCAAAACGTGGCATCAAATCTTACAGAATTTGACAAAAGAAAAATCTTTAGGATTTGTTTTGAAGGGACCCTGAAAATATATCTATTAACATTTACTAAAAACAACAAAAGCGACTGCATCGGAAAATTTGCATTTCGGGCAATATGCTTTCCTTCAAAAAAACAAACAGTAATCGTATAATGAGTTCGTTTTATCTTTCAAACAAAACTCCCACGCTTAGCGCGAGTGAAATAATTAAAGGCGAAAAACGTGGTTCGATGAAAATGTGTGTCTGCGAACGGCGCAAAAGAAAAGCAATACTAAAGTAACACGGATGTACAGCGCCTCCTGACCCTACATACACGAAAACTGACACGGCGGCAGTTCAAATGTAGTTTGGCATGCAGTTAAACTGTTTTTGCGTCATTTGTTAACGACTTGTGACAGCGCGAAATTAAATCGTCCGAGCTGAGGTAAGCTCCTGTGAGATATCTTGTTTATTTTCTGTAAAAACGAACGCAAAATGTTATATTTTTATCGCAAAAAACTGTAAGCTTAATAATCTTTACGCTAAGCCTTAAGGCGAATGAGAAAATTCATTTCCTAGGATATTAATCTAGCGAGACTGCTGAAAAATACACTCAGTTTAAGGTGTAAATATTTCATTTTAAGAAACCAATCTCTAATGTTATTGCTAAACAAGATTCTAAACCGAGTTGCCGATTATTTTTTGACTGAAGCCTTGTTTTGCTAGCGTTTCTGAGTGACGTATGTAGCTTTCTTTTTACGAGGAATGAAATATTCCGAATCGATATTGCTAATTTCCTCTACCCCCCTGGTCTTAAAGTTCTTTTTGAAGGAACCCTGTTTCCAGTTTCTTTACATTGTAATCGACTTGTACGAGAGTTTGCTGCTTATATACGTCTAAAACATTTTAATGGTATGATTTAGTTATTATTGTTTATATTATATCGTCTACAAAGCACTTTCTCTGAGGATATGTTAAACTGACTTGAAATCTGCAGGTAGCACTGACCACACGAATACTAAAATCTGTTCCAATTCGAAAACATTTGTAACAACTGACCAACTTACTTCTTGTTACACTGTGCTCATAATATATCGCAATAATAATATTTCGCTCTGTTCTTTTGCAAGGAAGAATCATTTCCGCTGTGGAGATAAACAGCGAAACCGAAGAAAATTGCTCGATTTAACCTGCCACTTCCAATTACCATGAAGGAGGCTGCGAACGTATCCTGGAACATCTCCACAGACAATTCGCCCGATGCAGGACATCTAGGAGAGAGGGACTTTGCCCTTATTAGCGCGTATGTTTGCATAGTGGGCGTTCTTGGCTTTATAGGAAACTTGTGGGTGATAGTTGCGTTCTGCCGTTACAAAAACCTACGGACGTCAACAAACATTTTCATCGTTCACCTCGCTGGATGTGATTTGTTCTTAGCGTTCATGGATCTGATGTTCTCGTTTCCTTCTTCCGTCGAACATCGCTGGCTATTCGGAAAAGTTGCGTGCGAGATTTTCGGCTTCGTGTACCATTTTTTGAACGCCATGTCTTTAAATACATTTGCGGTGATCTCGCTCGATCGCTTCTGGGTAATCACGAAGCCCTCGTTTGGCGCGAAAATAACCGTGAAGCGAGCGGTATTCTGCGTGATCCTAACTTACTTTTACACATTGCTTTTCACGCTGCCGATCATACTGGGTTGGATTGGCTTCCACGAGGAGATATACTTTACAGGGTGCTATTTAAATTTTGAGGAGGGTGACATGAGAACTTTCATCTATTCCTTAGTAATGGCGGTGTTTTTATTTTTCGTTCCGTTTGTAATCATGATCTATTGTTACTGCTCTATTTTTGCATCGGTTCGCAAGCGGGGGAAGAGAAATACTCGCCTGAAACGAAACCAAAAAGGAAACTGTAAATTTGCTTTGCCACATTGGCGCACTGCGCGAATGATCATAGTGGTAATATTTGTCTTCCTGCTATGTTGGTCTCCTCACGTGATCGTATCATTGTGTGTTTCGTTTGGACTGAAAATTTCCATCTTGGTTCAAGAGGTTACACTGCTTTTCGCCAAGTCTGGGGTTATATACAACCCTTTCATATACGCTGTACTGAATCATCGCTTTAGAAACGCCTTTCTTGGTATGATGTGTCAGAAAAAAGAGGAAAATGGCGCCCTGGATTGCAGCCGGACGCCAGTCGTCAGCGGAGGACTAGGCTCTAGTTTTCGGATCTCCCGCGCAAGCATTTCCGCCAAAACATTGTCCGAGCGTTTTTCCGAAAAGGAGTTAGATCTGGGTTCTACAGCGGATCAGTGTAGACTAAAACGAATTTGTTATTACAAAGGAAGAATGAACCTTCCTAACCTAGCGGAGCTACAATACGCTCAAAATGAAACATTGGACGGAGAGGGTTTAGAAGTCAACAAAAGAGAGGTGCAGATAGTTCAGCTCGAGCAACTTCCCATCCAGAATAGCGGGGAGAACGTGCGGAAAATACCGAGAAAAGGGCACTCCATTCACTAGTAGACAGAGATAAATACCATGTTATTAACGCCTAACAAGAAAAACCGCTCAAGATGTAGGCCGCGTTCACACTATGCCGAACTGAAGAAATTTGAAAACGGTGTTTTGACTGTGAAAATGCATCAAATGTTTTCCGTTCACACTACGCCGGAGAAATCTGAAAGCCCAACAATCAGTGGTCATTTTGAATTTGTGTTTGAAAAAAACTTGGACAGGAAAATCATGGGATTATAATGAGTTCATCGTTTTCAAAAAGCACCGTTTTCAAAATGTTTTCTGCCCACACGAAAACGCAAAGCCAGCGTTTTCAAATTCCTCCGGTTTGAAGAGCGTTTTCGAAAAGTTCCGTTTTCGTGACGGATTAGTGTGGACGGTAGGCCTAACCGTAGAAAATAAAGCTGCGCTTTTAAATTTCTCTGGCGTAGTGAACAGAGCCTTAATTAAGCATCGATCCGCAAAGGAGGAGAATGTGACAATGCGGAATGAGGGACTAAAGAAAGCGTGGGTGAACAAATGATAACAGATGAAAACTGATAAAAGCTTGGCAATTGTCAGACATCTGCCATTATAATTGTACTAAACGCCTTAATGTATTTTGTATTAAATTACTTTTTGAGAGGCGAAAAAGTACACTGTTGTCTTTTGAGTCATTAAGTTTTTTATGTTCTCCAGGGCTCGTAGTCACTTTTTGAAGTAGTCATTATTGCGCTCTTTCGGGTAAAAATAAAAACAAAAAAGAAGTCCTGTACGTGTCAAGCCTAAAAACAAATGCCTTGATGTAACATCTAATTCTCAGATCTAGATATTGAAAGAGTTAGGACATGCAGAGAGGAGAATCTATATTTAGAACTTGGGAATAAACTTGGTGACTGATATTCATAACACTAGTGTTCTATTCAGCTCATAAAACAAGCTGCAGCTTGCGCGCGGATAGAGCGAGGGCGTGTTTTCACTGGGCCGCGTCCACGAATCAAGTGGCAGTCAAGGTCTGGTCTTCCAAATGCTGATTTCGTACCCGATGACTGCGTTTCTGTTAACAGCCTTGTGCCTTTTTTAGAAATACATGCAAAAGTAGGAAAAAAGAATCTACATCTTCTTTTTACGCCACCACTTCCCTTTAATCTGCTTTACGCATCAGAACTGAGCTGTCCTGTTAAGAGCGAGAGGGAACCGTTTCAAAAAGTTTAATTTTAAAAGTCTAGTGTCGTTACCAAAGCCGATCAGCAATTTGATGATTTTCGCAATTCTCATCACCAAGCTGCTTCACATTGCATTGATCTTGTAAAGAGAAATAAGATAATGATCAGCTCTGAAAGTTTGAAGCAATAACTCTGTTCACAAGACTGGCAAAATCCTCTCAATAATCCTCAAACTTAAAGAAACGAACCCAGCTTTATCACAGGGCTATCGTTTCTTGTTGGGTAACCTGATCGTGTCTCATACATCAAACAGGTGCTAAGTACATACATCCGGCTGACATAAGAAGTTAAAACGCATATTGACCATCAACACATGCACTTGTGGTGTTAAAAGCTGCTTCCATTTTAAATTTGAATTCGATTTGAAGTTAAGAACTGACCTGACACTAATGGATGGCAGAAGCATTTAATTCTCCATTAACCTTGCAACTTTCGAAAGGTCTCTAAGCTTCTCATCATTATTGCAGCTCAAATTGGTCATCTTATCTTAAAATCCGCGTGATCTCAGGCAAAAGCCGAGAGTACCGTGCGAGAGAGGTTCATAATGAATGATAGGGCGTAGAAAGCAAACTAAAAGGTAGCATTTTTGTCTGTGGAATTCCATGTCTTAAAAGTCTCAAGCCTTTGATGATTAATGACATTGAAATCTACTGGCAAAAAAGGGTATTGAAGCAAACTGATGGATTCCTTGACGGTCAACAATTTAAGCTACCCATGTTAAATCTTATTTAATCTAGTTATCATATATTTGACAGTAACCTTTCCTGCTTTGATAAATGGCAGTCCCTCTCCCACCCCCCACCCCCAAAAGAAAGGTCATTTAAACTATCGAGCCTGAAAATTTGATACAACTGCAGCTAAAGTTTCAGCTACAGCTGAAAATTTGATACAGCTAGAAGTCTACACAATAAATATAGCATGCGTAGCAGACGTTAATGTTTCGAAAAAAGCAAGTAAAGGGATGGAAAATGCCTATGCGAGTGAGTACGAAATATAAGGAGCAGTGGGAGGGAATCTCACTCACTCACCCCCTCCCCATTTCTCCCCATCTTTTTCTCACCCCAGGCGCGCTTCTTCGCGCCCCTGCTTACGCGCTCGCTTGTTCGATCTCTCCGCCTAGAAAAGGAAAGGAAACGGCTGCTGCGCAGGCTACAATAACTGTAAACAAAATACTCTTGCCACATTCGCTCCGTTAATTCTCTCAAGAGTTTAACGACTGAAAGAAAAAGTGATGGGGTGGATCGCACAGACATTTCATTGGTCTCTGACAATAGCTTTCCGCTTAGTTATTGCTAGTTTTGGCCGTTTTTATACTAAAGAGGCATTATCCGTCTGGACGAACTTGGACAAACATTTTTTAGTTCATCTGGTTATACGTCTCTAGTATAAAGACGGGCATGAGACGTTTTATACGTCTAGACGAAATATCCTTCGTATCGCGTCGTTCAAGACGCATTACGAAGAATGTGGTGTTTTATCAAGACAATTTGGTTCGTTGCCTGATCTTTTTATTGGTGTTCTTAGCAACAGGCTTCTCTTTGTGTGGGTAGCGGCTCGTCTCCAGGTTTCGACCGGGAAACCATAAACTGCAAGGAACCGCATACGATAAACGCAGCCAAGGTAGGATCTACAAGAGAGTCGCGTGATTCAAGTTCCTCCCTTAGCATAAGGGAGTTTAAACCACGACGGCGACGGCGAGGACAACGTCAATTAAATAGTGAATTTATATTTTAATTACGAACCTCACGATACTGTAAAGTCATTTGCTTCGTTTATCACTGTTAAAACTATCAGGAAACTGAATCTGTGATACACGTACGGGATAAATTTAAAATAAAAATGTGAAAAAATTGCCGCTGTTATTTAGGTTTCCCAGAAATCCAGAATTTCACGCTTCCGTTTCGCAGAGAACGGCAAAGAAATGTACCAAGAATTATAATGCACGTGCTCGTCCATTGTTCTACTCGTTAAACCTTTTGTTTAGCGACGTTTCCGTTCATGTTGCCGTCATGGTTTTCTTCAACTCCTTATTGAAAGGCGAAGCACGCGTCTCTCCTCCCCCCC